TATGATGTACTGTTATCATATTATAATATACTTACCAGTTCCTTCCATGATTTATTGTTAATATCAAATATCCAAATATCATAAGTACCATCTCCACCCACCACTAGTAGGTGTGGTCCTGAGCTAGTGTTAATCAATACACTGGAATGAGCACTTCTTTCCTTAGGCCATTGTACTGATCCTCTAGGATTAGATAACTTTGAACAATTCTAAAATAATTAAAAAAAATTTTAATTATAATGAACCAACTCACACGCTCAGTGTTACGAATAATAATACACACATACAATACATTATTAATTAATAATTAATGTAATTATACTAATAATACACTCACCACTGATGTATCAGTAAAATTAAGAATATATACATCGTTACTGGCTCCATTAGCAGTGTCACCTCCAAATAATATAGCACTGGAATTATTAATTGATGTTAAAGTGAATTCATCAATAGGAGGTGGTCTGTCTCCAGTGACAGTCGGTGATATCCATTGTCCTAAAAATATCAATAATAATAATTAGTGTGAATGGAATGCATTGGGTGGAGCAAACTAGTTGATATTTCTTTGATCATATTATCAAATAATTAGGAATGACAACCATGAACAAACAAGCAAGCAATTCTCAATGCAACCAGTCTGAGTGGAGAACCACCAAATAACAATACTTCATTATATTCATATAAACTGTATGTGCTCTGACCTGTTGAGAGTTTATAGAAATGGATCTCATTGCATCGTTGATAACCAGAAGCGAATCCTTTAATCTTACTGTACTGGGCACCAGGTTGTTTGGGTGTATTATTAGAAGATAATCCCTGTCCTCCAATTACTACAAGATAGTCCTCACCGTTCACTTTTATTGCTATCATGTCACAGTGGTGCTTCATCATAGGACCATGATGAGATGTAGTAGGAGAGAGTTCCTTCCAATTGAAGGTATCAACATTAAAACTGTATAAAATATTATATAATATTTATCAGTAACTATTATGTTTACCTGTATAAACTATTATGAGAAGAGTCCATATAGCCTCCGAAATAAAATATTTCCCTTCCAATGGCAGCAGCTGCATAGCCAATCACACCCAGTGGAGGGTTACCAGTGGTGGGTTTCTGCTCCCACCTACCAGTCCTTAGGTGACACACCTCCATCACAGAACACATTGATTTCTTCTTTTCATTATTATGTACTGCAGGGAGACCAGTCTGGTACCCACCCCACATGTACAGGTAGTCTCCTACCTGTACAGTGGAGTGTTCACTCCTCTTCACTGGTTGATAGTCTATAGATAACAAGAGGTAACAGTAACTGAATGATACACTAATAGTAACAACACACGAGTCATAATCAAGTATGTATATAAACAAAATACTGACCTGGTGCTTTGGCTGCCATTTTGCTTGGAGGTAACGCCCTTCTATGACGTCAGAAAATCAAGGATTCAAGGTGTGGGCGTGTGGCAATAATTTTATTTTTGTTACAAATAAAATTAATTTAATAGCTCAATAAAAAATTAAAATTCACAATAGTATCTAAATAATTATTTTACAGATATTGCTGGATGCTGTTTTTCTGTAGCAGTCAACGTTCAGTGAGATTCTCTTCTCTCCTCCTCTAGTTCCCTTTCCCTTTCTTGTAGTACACGTATCAGACGGTCTATTTCTCTTCTATCCTCAGGTTGAACAGGTTGAGATGCTTCCCATTCTCTTCTCCTTTCTTGTAGTTTCTCTTGATACTGGTCCAGAGGTATTATACTAGTAAACCAATCAACAATATATTTCTTTGTGAAAAGGCCAGAGACTTTAGTACCAAGGACTAAATCAAATAAAATAACATTGGTAATTGAACATATTACATGTATTAAAGTTTCATTAGAAAATACAAAATTATTACTACAATCCTTGAATTAATGGCATGGACATGTATGTGTATATATAATAACTAAGTTACTAAGTTAGTAACTTAGTACTGTATAGTGTAAAGCACTTATACTGTAATTCATCTTTGCAATTTATTTTAAAGCAACTCTGGTGAAATAAAAAAGGCTATACTGTTGATTCATAATCATTACATGTATGTTCAATATGTACTCACTGAGCTCAATAACTGCTGGATCACTTATTGTTGTACATGTATAATAGTTCCTCTTTCCTCCAAACACAATTATCCAGTTAGTGGTTGGACTCACACTCCAAACTGAGAGAGAATGACACCATCTCTTAGTGACATTTTTTGATACATGAAACTATAAAGAAGATACATAGATTGTATTAATAATTAATTTGTCATCTCCACCAATGAAAATGATTCTATTCCTTGATACTGTACTGTGTGGTACTGTAGGGCCACCTTTTTTCAAGGGCTGTATATTTGGAGGATTTCATGATTTTTTTGAAGATTCGCAAAAATTACTTCTGCAAAAATCAAATTATATAGTATTACAGATGGCATAAATTCGCAAAAATTAAGTCCACAAAACAGATTTTTGGGAAAATTCACAAACTTTACAGCCTTTGAAAAAAGGTGCCCTATGGTATTAAGTAGCCACACCCTAAACCTATATAGTGTTGTATTATTAATGTAAACCATTCTTTCAGTAATTATTAATTATTTACATTATACAGTATAACATACATAAGTACAATACTTGATTACTAGTACATAATAATAACCAGTTGTGATGTATTGTTGTTATTATATTATAATATACTTACCAGTTTCTTCCATGATTTATTGTTAATATCAAATATCCAAATATCGTAATTAACTATTCAGGCTGTGGAAGTATGGATCCCGTGTTATTACATACAATATAAATTTGGGGAGCCCCTGTAACCAGTGGGCCCCAAGCTTAACAATAGTTAGACTTCTTAATAACTATTGAGAATGGTAAATAAACTAGCATGAAAGTAAGGGGAACGGTTTGTAATAACACTTCCATGTCACATTACCCTTAAGGTAATGGAGAAGATGAAGCCGGGCTGGGTGGGTGGAAAGAAAAAAGACTGAGTGAATCTCTTGAGCTGTTGCTGCTTGTTGCTTTCCTGCTAGTGATGATAACTAGCAATTAATTAACCTATTAATATTAACTACAAGAGTACAGCCTTCTAGTTAACCTTGTTTAACCCTCTGGCT